CTTCGGGGTAATAACTTGGGGGGAGTGGACACCATCTTAGAGGGTTCATGAAAGAAATGTCCCCAAAAACCACCGTCTAAGTCTCACATCCGTGGATTGACCCAAAAAAAGAGTCAAAACTTGTGGCTTACCACTAAAATGGTTTTCCCAAAAAGTTTGAAGTCGGGGAGTGTGAAATGGTCAACTCTTACTTTTGTTGGTCTGAGCAGTTTATGTGTGGCCAATTTTTTGCCTTGCTTGGCCTATTGCGTCTGGGTTTGGTCCCAGTGGGTCTATTGGTCCTCTTGGTATATCTGCGGTTAGGGATTTCCAGGGAAGTCGCCAATCTGTTATCTTTTGGGGCAAATGTGTGCGTCCAACCCCCAACCTGCTCTTTGACCTCCGTTTGTCTTGTCCATCTTGCTTGTGCTCAGGTAGGGACTGACTTCGCGAGTCTGGGTGTCTGAGCCGTTGAATTCCGGATCAGGCAAACCAAATCGGACGATGGGGATTGGGGTCATTCCATCAGGAACCGTGGGACCCGGGGCATCTCGAAGCGAATTGTTGGCTTGGGCAAAAGCACAAGAGGCTGGGCTGGCAAAGAAAGCAACAAAACAAAAAACAAAGACACCCAGTCAAAACAATACAACAAAAGCAAAGCAAAAGAAGCCAGCAAAGCGGGAACCAGCACTTTAGAGGGGAGCACCCCCCTGTCAATCAACTGGGGCTGATTGATCTCTAAACCAGCCTAAAAACCGGGGCCCCTGTTTGCATCCAACCCCGAACCTGTGCATCTTGCTGCTCAGAAATGACCACCCGCCGCGCAGTTCGCCGTGAAGCCCGGCGCCTCAGCAGGATGGGCTGGTCGCTGACCTGGTGGGCCCCGCACAAGCGCTGGGTCTCCAGCTCGATCTCCCGGCGCACCTCTGAGAGCCCCAGCTGCACCTCGCGAGACAGGGGGCCAGTCTTTGTATATGCACCTTATTATGTATATATACACACATATATATATATACTTATTTGAATTCATATATAGAAATATGTATATATATATAGAGGGCGGGTCGGCATGGGGGCTGAGTTTTTCAGATTCCTGGGGGCTGAGTTTTTCAGATTCCTGGGGGCTGAGTTTTTCAGATTCCTGGGGGCTGAGTTTTTCAGATTCTTGGGGGCTGAGTTTTTCCATTAAAAACACTAAAAAAATACCAAAAATATAAGATCAAGACCCGTGACCTCTTAGATTTATTGGGGTGCGATGCTTTTGTTATTTTTTGCTGATGACATGCAAGCACAGATTCATTTTCGATCCAATGAAGACTCAGATGCATCCAGACCTGGAAAATGAGCTAGCTTCAAGCTACACAGAAGACAGCCTGTTGAGAACTATTTTGCACAAATATCATTGTTGGACACAAATATTTAGCAAACGTGTGTCTGTAGCTTATTTTTGGATAATTGGCATGCTTACGCATGCCAAGTTTATAAACCTCAGGGCCTCAGGGTGCTAACTTTTGGAAGACGTATGTTTGGCACAAATCTTCAACACAAGTTGCATACATATGCAATAGTTTGGAAGACGTATGCTTAGCAATCTGCAAGCAGATGTATGTTTGGGACAAATATTATTGTTGTGTTGCAATTCTGAAACACGTAAGTATGGCAAGCACAGCTTGCCATGCATATAAAATCATAAGAATGGTAAGTTATCGCTGATCTATGCAGCTTTCAGCTGCAAGACTCAGCTCTTTTTACAGTTGGATGTTCAATATTTCAATATACGCATGGGCTCTGCCCATGCTCTTCAGAAAAGACAGCTAACACAAACATATTTATCGCATAATGAGCTGGAGCAATTGGAGCACAGCTCCAATCTAGTCGTTGCTTGAGCTCAAGAAGCACAAGATGCAAAGATGAGCACCTGCAACGATATCTGCAGATGCAAATAACATTCTCTGCAGCGATATCTGCAGATGCAAATAACATTCTCTGCATAAAGCTGTTCAGCTTTGGAATAAGAGCTTTGGAATAAGACTCTCTGCAGCTATTCGTGTTGCTCAAGAGCTCTTGCAACAGTAAAGCTGTTCAGAATAGATTCAAGTAGACACAACCCACAAGCAATTGCTTGTGATGAGATGTTACCTGCAGAAGATGAAATGAGAGATGATATAAATTATCTCCAGTTACCTGGAGTTACCTGCAGAATATCTTGGAAGAGGCTTATGTTCTGTTGATACACATCTCATCATATTATTGATGTCTTGCATCAAGAAAGCTTGCATCAAGAAAGCATCAACAAAGTATTGTCTTCAGATGATGGGCTGTGTTTTTTTGGTTTTCTTGGTGTTTATGATCAAAGGAACCAAAAAAAAAAAACAGACCCATGGCCCTGAACTGTGTTTTTTTGGCTTTTTTGCTTTTTTGATTTTTTTGCTGAAAAAAACTCAGCCCCCAGGAATCTGAAAAACTCAGCCCCCAGGAATCTGAAAAAACTCAGCCCCCATGACGACCCCTTCTGTATATATATGTGTACATATATACATATATACATGCACCCCCCCCCCCGCGATGGATCTACCCTTTTTGCTATTTGAAGGCTACTTTGGAGATGGAACGCAGTTGTTTTATTCGGAATGCCCCATGTTATTATATTTATATCCAATATGTATATACATGCATTTGTCTATGAGACATGCACAGTCTTTCTAGGGTTGTACTAGTAGACCCCAGGTTTGGACATGCCACATGGAACTCACCAGACAACCGGGGTGACTATTTCAAAGGTTCTGTTGCTCACTGCCCAGTCTGGACCTGGAAATGACGAATATGGGGACATGACGAATATGGGAACCCCAAATGGGAGAACCCAAAGGTCAAAAGGTTGGACTTAACACTGAGCTTAAGGATAAGCCAAAACTTAAGGGTAAACTAGTGGCAAATAAGCTCTAAGTATGGCTCTGTCTTGTGTTTTGTTTTCCTTTTTTTGTGTTCTTGTTTTCTTTCTTTCTTTCTTTTTGGGGGGGGGGGGGTTGGGGGTTGGGGGGGGGGCTTGGTCTGGGCAGTGGGGAAGTCTTTAATTTTCACTTTCAACCCTGGCGAAGAACATGAGAAAATGAGGTACCCCAAAATTGGATTTGGATTTGGATTTGAACGAGTCCCTGGTTCTTGCGCAAATATGTCCAGAGATAGACTCCCTGAAAAAAAAAAAGGAACACGTCAAGAAAAAGAAATGGACGTTCAAGTCCCGACCCCGCTGCCATTGGAAAATTAGAATGGGGGGGGGTTATTCTAAAGCCACAGTTAGTCATCATTATTGGAGAAAACTAGCACTAGGTCCTCCAGTAGAGAGGTTAGAAAAAGGGTACCCTTTTTCTGTGGCCTATTTTAGTAGGGGAACCCTCCCCCAAAAAAGGGTAACAGGGCACTGCTGGGGGACCTAGAGTAGTTCTGATTTTAGTGTTTGACACTACGCCTTGCAAAGTGCGAGCAGAAACCCGAAATGGCTGTTCCCCAACCGCCGAAGGCTTCTGGGGGTTTAACCCGAATCTGCGTTTCGGATGCGGCGTAGCTTCGCTTTGGCCAGCTTCGGTTGCGGAGGGTTCAAGGGGCGCTCAGGGGTTTCTTGCTTGTGCAGCAGGGAATGAGGGAAGGAAAATCGGGTCCCCTTAAAGGAAAGCACAAGGGATGGTTTATGAGGGTCATTCCCTCATTCCGGGCTGAGCACCAGCAAGTTGTTTTTGAGACAATCCCAACTTCTGCCGGATGCGCGGGTTTGGCCATACGAGCGTGCGGTTAACCTCACAAACTGGGGGAGGATGGGCAAATTGCCGAGCAATCCGTGCGGTTTGGCCGGTCCAAAGGAGCGCTCCCCTTTTGGGGTCGGCGCACGTCCATGGCTGAGGAAGAGTGCCTCACTTGGCAAGACACCTATGCCGCTGTCAATGGTCAGCCTTAGATGGCCAGACTTGCCCCTAGGATTCACCTCCCTTGGCATGAGATGGCTGTGGTGGTCAAAACCGTTTTGGGATCCCATTTTGGGATAGGTCCATTTTAGAAGTGGAGTCTCTGGATGTTCACCGGGGGTACGGGATTTGGATGTTGACCCACAGCCATATCTGAAGTTTTGGGCTCGCACCCGGTTTTTCAGGTCCCATGTCGGATGTCCGATTGGGAGGATACCTGGCTGGAAATGTGGATGGCGCTTTACACCCAGCCATGGCCCTTGGATTTGAATTTTGGACTCGAAATTTGGAGGGGTGCAGGTTTTCTGTGGGTCAGGAGGATTCATGGCCCGGGTCCTTCTGCGCATTTGGTCAGCCAAACCAACTTCCTTGTTCTCAAAAAATCTGGGAATGAACCTTCCATCTATCTATCAAGCCCCAGATTCAGATTTCCCTTTGGCCTACTGAAGGCACTTCTAGGTCCTCCAGTAGAGAGGTTGGAATAAGGGTACCCGATCTTTTTCTGTAGTCTATTTGAGTAGGGGAACCCTCCCCCAAAAAAGGGGTGAGAAAGGGCACCTAGCTGGGGGACCTAGACTTCCATTTGGTTAAGGCCCCTGGAAGAAACAAAAAACGTAGTGATAAATTCCTCTTAAAACCAACAAGGGAAAATTGAGAAACACAAAATATTCTTAAGCAGATGGAAGTAGACTCTCTTGGTCTCCGGCCGGCCTTGGGCTTGTGCTGAAACTCCGCCCACTCCTCCGAACGCGCAGAGCCGCCGGCCCGGGGAAGGATTTTTTTTTCCGGCTCCGAGGCCTTCCCGGCCTCGGACAGGTCCACCGAGAGTCAGATCTGAGCTTCCTTTTGTTGAAAGAAACCAAAGTTCATTCCTTTCAGGGGAAACTTGTCTGCTTCATTTTGTTGAAGTTCTAGGGGTTCATTCCTTTTCCATTCTTTTAAACGATCGTTCTTTTCGAAAACTGATCGCTGCTTCCCCTGAATTGCTGATGGCTTTCTGGAAAGAGGGTTTTTTTTCTGGAAAGAATGGGGAAGTGTCCGCTAGAAAAGTGTCAAATAGTTTGGGACACCCTAGGAAAGATGGCAAAAGTCCGATGCCCCCCAAAGCAGGAGGGCTGCAGCATAGACCCTAAGTGTCGGAAATAGGGGTAGATCCTATCTGCAATGCCTGAAACTATATGTGGTCCTCACGGACTTCGTCGTGGTGAGCTCGCGTTCCTCGATGCTACTCCGAAGATGTGTCTGACAATGGGGGGGGCTCACAATGGCAAATAGGTTGAGTGCCAATGACATGATCTTGCCGAGAAATCGCCACACCCGGGCTTCGGAAGCTCTCCACCGGGCGACCATTTTTCTCGACTCTGTTCCGTTCAGGTGTGTTTCTGATTCCCAACCCTCAGTCATGGGAACAAAAGACTTTGCTTTTTGGTAGCCCCCACCAAAATGAACGGAACCAGACCTAAAACCATGCCAAGCAGCAACAACGAACCGCGTGGGAGAGGAACAAATATGGTTTCTCCGTCGATTCCCCTGCAAATTCACAAAAGGAACCCAAACAGGGCTCCCCAAGAAACGAAGACTCCTCAAGCATGACTGGTATTGGCGGTTAATCTTGATCGTCATGGAATGGGGAATGAGGTGGGGTTCCCCGCAAAAAGGTATGTCTGCTGCTAATCAGAAAGGAGAACTCTCCACGACGTTGAGACGTGGGGGCTTCAATTCCCAGTCTACAGACCCCAAAATGGGCTTCGGTGTCCTTCTGGTGTTCCTTTCAAGCAACCCAAAAACGAGTATACTATCAAAAACGACGTCCGTTGGAAGTAGAACCTTTAAATGACAAACACACAAAAACTGAAAAACATGGACCCGTGAAAAACTGGGATGTCGAACGTAGGGGGAACCCATGAAGATATCCTACGGTCAAGGCAACCTCAACGGGCGCATCGCCGTGAAACAGGCTCAAAAAGGACCTTACCACTTACCACGCAAAGCATAACACCAACCAACGAAAAGCTTGTGCTTTTTGTGGGCACTAACCACCCGAATTGCCTGCAAGAAACAGAAACATAAGTTGATGCTGAATGAGCCGCATTCTCTTGATCCTTTCAAGTGTCATCAGTGGGTCACTTTTCTTGCCAGTTCGATAGGTAGGGAATCGCAATGGGGATACACCTGGGATGCCATGAAAGGAAGCCAGCGGTTGGATGGCTGGCAGGGGTCATTCCCGCATTCCCTGAGAACCAGCAAGTTTTGTTGCTTCCTGCACATTGGTGGCACCCTCGCGGACATACCTTGTGACGCCTCCCTCCCATCTCCCCACATCTCCTCTTTTATCTGGGTGTTCCTCAAAAAAGGGCTGTGTTCCTACGAACTGTCCCCTCCTGTTGTTTCCCCTCAAACAACAGAATGCTTTCCAAATCCATCGATTTCCCACGGAAAAATCCAACCATTCTCTGAGATTTGAAGTCGCCCTTCCACTAAAAAAGCGGTCTCCCGGTTTAAGTCCTCACTTCCACCGCCCCAACCGCGTGTGCCGGGTCCTGGGCGCCCTCGGAGTGGTGGAGCTGCAGCACCAGGGGCCGGCGGGTGACGATGCCGCTGCCCCGCGGCAGGAAGTCTCGGCCCACGAGGCTCTCCAGCACCGAGGTCTTCCCCACCTGTCGCTTGTGGGGTGAGTGGGGGTGGGGGTGGGGGTGGGTTGGGGGTGGGGGTGGGGGGCGAATGGATGATCAGAAGCGGTTTCAAGGGGATTCTCCAATTGGGTAGGGAAATCTGGGGAAGGAAGCCAGCCTTTTTCGGTTTTGCTTCGCAGCAAACAGCTGTGGATAGAAGTTCGAAGTATTTGGCAGCACACAGAAGCCTTCCTTGTTGCTCGCCACTGTTCCATATCAGACTGCGTTAGTTGTTGTCGATGGTACCTTGTCGGTCTGATCTTAAGGGTTTGGTCTGGCAGAACAGAATTTGCCAATTCCCTACTGAGAACCGGGAAGTCTTTGAGCTCACCTAACTTGTCCTGCGAGGAGGGCGTCAAACAGCAAGCCCCAGAATCTTCGTATCAATAAGATCAACCCAAACAAAAACTAGGGCCAATTGGCCAATCTTTCTTTTCCCAGGCCTTGCAACTGTGCCAAAAAAGTTCCTGCAAAGAGTTTGGGGTCATTCCAATTCGCCGGAGAACCGTCAAGTAGCCAAGGGGCAGGAGTCCATGGAGTCCATGCGTGTCTTTGTTTCCCCAGCTTATGTCCCAGCCAGCCCATGGAAAGTCCCGAGGTGTGCGGCTCTGGCGAACGCGTCACCGTTGGGCATACTTCTTGGACAAGAGAAAAAGGAAAAGCTGCTCGATAGAAAGTCCCGTCTTAAATGATACTGTCTTGGATTGAGGAAGTACTCAGTAGAACAACTCCAGGTGCACCAATCCCAGTCATAGGGCTTCTTTGCCCATCCACTGGGCAAAACGCCCCAGACCCTAAGGGTCCTATGCAGAACTCGGAGGTCCCCCGTACCACACCCCGAGTTGCTTTAGGGGGGTCAAAAAGACATATTTCGGGGCAAGTTCCATCAGGAACCTTGAGGGAATTGCACTTCATTCATCCAAAGACCCGATCTTTTGCAGGGGTAGAACAAACACTTGACGAGCCACCCATTCACTCATTGGTCAAGAGGCAAAGTCAAGACCTGGTATGAGGAGATGCCTACCCAGAGCCAGGTCAAGAATTAAAAAGGCGGCGAAGGCTCTCATTGATGGTTGGGGCCATCCCTTTCTACCCTTTCTCTGCCCGCATTGTGGCTCACCTGGGCACATAACGATCAACAAGTCGCCCATGGTCATCGAGCCACCGAAACTCGCTCGAATCCAGGGGTGCTTGTCCATACCCCTTTTACATACCCCTTGGACAAATGAACCCAAAAAGCCTGCTGACGTTCATACCCCTCTCCTTAAAAGGGGTATATACCCCTTATAAAGTGGGTTGGAAACCACGGAAGCCAAGGGGTATGAAGGGGTATGTAATTCCACCCATAGGTCGAAAGGCCCATCAACACGGGGCCCTATGTGTGGGTGGAGCGAAAACCTAAGACCCAGGAAGAAGGGAACTTGGTTTGCCCCAGCCAGTGTGATTTCTCAGGCGCGTTTAATGGGTTCGAACACAAATGGGTTCTTTAAATAAAGGTCGGAACCTGTTCCCTCTGGGCGTTGAGGAGGGGTCTGGAGAACAAACATGGCCTTGGCAGGCTGAATAGGGGGTCCAAAAATGCGAAACTGCCAACTCCCTTTCGGCTTCCTTTTGTGAAAATCCGCAAGACTATTGGAGATGCGTTAACTTGTGTGCTGGTTGCTATGGCTCGCCTTCCCGGCATAGGTGTCCTTTTGGGGCAAATAGATGGCCCTGGTAGATGATTTAAACCACCAGGTAAACCAGGAATCACGCAGTCTATTTCTTAAGCAAAGCAACCAAAAAGGACACATATGGCTCCAGAATGCTGAGGCAAGAGCCATGGCAACCGAACCACGAATCGCAATCAGCCAAAAGGACACCTCTACTTCCCGGATGGCGACGTCCTTCCTTCCCGGGTGCTGTCCCGGGCGAGCGGCCGACTGGGAGCCCATCACCGCGATCATGGGCAGCGAGAGATCCTTCGACAGACCCGCCGCCAGCACCACACGGTGGATGCCGTTGAGCATGCTGAGGGGGTCTCGGGGCAATGGCTCCTGCCGGACGGATCGGATCGCGAGAAAAGACGAGTCTCCTCTTGGAAGGGGCTTTTGTGCACTTCCATGGGGAGGGTTCAAAGTTGAGGTGATATGGGTGTGGGTCAAATATGGGGTAACCCAAGGGTGGCTGTGGCTGGGGTGTCTTTTTCGACTCGCCCACCCGGATTATTTTTTGACTTGCAGGGCAAGCGCCAAGCGCCAAGCGCCTGTTGCCTTTCTTAGTTGCTGACCTCCACACACAGAGAATCCAATGGCAGTAGGTACCCAAAATGGAATCCTGGTAAATGGAAACATGGACTAAGATCTGCGGATTTTCTGGTGGTTCAAATTTGACCCATACCCAAATGGGCGTCTGCTTTTTTAAGGGACAGCCCGCCCATGTGCCGTGGACACTTAGAGTCCATGCAGACCCTAAAGAAGGAGGATGCAAAATTCGCCCGAATCCAGCCTACGGACTCCCCCACCGAAAAGAAAGAAGTGGTTGTCCATTTCGTTTACCTTTAAAACCATCCCAAAAAAGGGCACCATCAAAAACATGCAAAGCCAAATGTTGCAAGTAAAGTAACCCACACTTTAAACCACACGTGGTAATTCATGGCACAATGTTCGAAGGCTGCCTTGCTCTAGGGCATCCGCCACTTTTTCCGGGCCTACATGATTAGAATGCTCTCATGATTGCTGGAGAAAGCTACGAGTCCTTCGCTTCCCATAGGGGGGCAAGCTCACTTTTTTTCGGACCAAATCATTTGTTGAGGGAAACCAAGAGGTCGGCAGAGTCAAATCAAGGGTCGGAAAAACGGATTAATGCCCCAAGCGTGCGAGGAATGGTCGATTTGATCCAAGCAGAACAAGGCGCTGCTGAAAGAGAGGTTTGGAGAGCCGAACACTCAAGTCCCCGTTTGCAGCGTGTGGTTCCTTGAGCCTCAGGCGCTAACCACTGATGGGTGGCGCGTCTTTTTTTTGAGTTGGTACCCCATGTTTGTTACGTGGTTTTAAAGGGAAACCAAAAGGCAAACCGTTGCGCGCCATTTTGGGGTCCAAATCCTAACAGACGAGCCAACCATAGCCAACAGCCCAGTCAGAATCCAGAGGCACGTACCATGCTTGTGGGACTTGTCTGGCACTGTTGGGTGGGCGTCTTGGCGCCAAAAAAGTAAAACTGGAGAATGCCCAGCTCACCTTAAGCACGTTGAACTCGCAGCTCCTCAACCTCCTCCGCCGGCAAAGACGCAAACGTCGAGCTCCCCGGCACCCGCGTCGGCGCATCCACTGCTTTCGCCGCGGACGCCGCGGCTTCGTCCGCGGCGTCGTCCGCGTCTTCGTCTGAGGTGTCTAGGCCCTTCGCCATCATGCCGCGGAGAATATGTTGCATAAAGCGGAGTGGACAAGTCGCGGGCGTCTTTTCCATAGACACGAAAACTGGCTTTGACCAAAAGTGAAATCCAGGTTTCACCGGTTCAGTTTGACCGGGTGGGTGGGCTGTGGGCTGGGCCCGACGTGAGGTGACTGGGCTGGTTGCGTGGCTTTGTGCAATGTGTCGAGGCCAAGCACTCGTCGTGAAACCAGCTCCCTACGTCCCAAACCAGAAACCACCCTGTGGTGCTCAAGGAGTGGAATGTGCCGGGCTTGGATTGGGCAATGTGAACAGCGCTCTCTGTTTCACCCTCTCTCTCTCTGTTTCTCTCTCTCTCTCTCTCTCTCGATTCGGACAGCATGGAGCCAAAAAAGTCGGGCGGCAAGACGGCTGGTCTCCAACCAAGAATCCTCAACCTCCAACAAACGGGACATGGTGGGTTGTCAAAAATACACAACCCGCTTTGGACCGCTTTTTGGACGGCGGACGCCACATAAACCATGGCCCCTCTTAAAGGGTACCCCATTTTTTTACCCCGCACATGTTCCAAGTGACATCGACTCAAAACCGACTGTGGGCCATAGCCGTGGTCGGGTGCCTTGAAAAACTCGGTGACAAGTGACCCGTTTCGCGTGTCGCGCAAAACGGTCGCCAATTGTTTTAAATTCAAAGATGGCGTCCTTTTGGGGAAGCCAAGAACTGTTGCCAAATAGCCACCCATTGTGGACAAGGCACTTGGATGTTGCTCCCAAAAGAAAACCTCCCGTTGTTCCAAGAGGACGTGGGACTATTAATACAAAACTTAAACCACCGCGGCACCACTTTCTTGACATATCAACCACATCGGAAAAAGGGTCGACTCACTTGGAAAATTTAGGGCACAAGCACCTAGCCCCCCCCCGCTCGAGAGTACATCCTCTTCAAACCAAACACCTGTATCTTTGTTTACCAACACCCAAAACCCGAAACCCTAAACCCTAAAGCCTGGACCCTAAACCAACAACACCAACAACAACAAAAACGCCCATGTTCGTCGCCTGCAGCTCGGCCAGACCCATGGAGGGGTCCAGCACCACCACGCTGTCTATGCCATGGTACCACGGTCCCTTCACCTGCCAAAAGAGGGGGGGGGGAGGGGGGTGGTTCTAAGGGGTTGGGGGGTCGAATGCCCAGAAACACAGAACAGCACGATCTTGGTATGATCTTGGACGGCCCTTTGGCATCACCCAAAAAAACAAAGTTTGTCCACCGACCATTTCTCAGCGTCCAACCAGTTCAGAAAAAGGGGGTATGTCAAAACCGAGATACCCCAAAACGGCGGTGTTGCTTTTGGCGCCTCTTTAGACCCCCCCTGAAATGGGTACACCCAAGAGACTGGTGAGTGGGACCCTTTAGCTCACGTGTCCAGCCTGGGCCTTTCGATCTCGGTTGCGAAATCGGCTCCCCTGCTAAGAGGTTAACTTTACTGGTTTAATGGAAAACCCATTAGTTGGCAAAAAGCTAAAGTCCTAACATCCAAGCAAAATGCACCAAAGCGATTTCAAGTTGAGAGCGCTCGCGCGCACGGCGATCCGACACAAACCATCCCCAACTTGGTCTCTCGGATGCCTCTAGGGCCCCGGAAATGAAAAACACCATGGGCAGTGCAACGTGTCGAAGCGGCTCTATTCTCATTTGTTCAGTGACCCTGGGAAAAAAGGGAACCCTTTTTGGGGAACACCATTTTTAGTGGGACATCCACCAAGAAAAGGGGGAAAAAGGGTGCCACTGAACAACTGAGTATCGGAAAGCAAAGGCAATGTCAGTGGGTTGCTCTTCGTAACCTAATTGCTACTTGTGGTGGCTAAGGAAATGGCCAAAAGAACATGTCAGCAAACACGAGGACTCGCCCAACGCTTGGCCGAAGGCAATATATGCAAACCATGAGAAGCCACCATATCTGGGGTACTGCCCACAACACCTAACTCTGGTCCACCCTAAAATGCAAATTATGCTCGGAGGAGACCCCAAAAGCTTCCTACTGACACTGTAGCCGATGACAGCCCTGGGTCAGCGCGACGTAAGATTTACAATTCATGTGCTTCAGCTTGCTGGTGCAATAACCAGGGAATGAAACATGGAATGACCGTGACCCTTATAAACCATCCCGTGTGGTGTCCTTTAAGGGGACCCTTGGGTTCATTCCCACATTCCCTACCTATCGCAGCAGCAAGTCTAAGTTGCAGATTCTTCTTCTCAGCGTCCATCTGAGAACAGGCCATAGCTGTGTTTGCACAAACCCAAGTCTCCACATCAAGTCTCACGATTCCTGCCTTGGGGTGTGCGTCCTGCGGGCGGAAACAAAACGAACGCCTTGCGGAGTTTGGGGGGCACCCGGGTTTCGGGTTCTTGGGCATCCTTGAGGTTCCTTCGAGTCTCCTTGGGGCTCCAGCAAAAGGTTCCACGGGGCTGTGGAGGTATAAGGAGAACATGTGCGATTTACTAACAGTTTAGGGTTTAGGTCTTTGCTGGGGTGAGATCCTTTCGCCCGTCTTGTCCTTTTTTGGATTGGCACATCTAACTCCAAGCGATTCGAAGCGCTTCGACCCAGCTCAAAGGACAGGTCCCAACATCAGTCTGTGTTTCTCAAATTGACCCTACCGAAGCTAGGTCCTCCAGTAGAGAGGTTAGAATAAGGGCACCCTTTTTTTCTGTTGTCTATTTAGGCGAACCCTCTCCCAAAAAAGGGGTAAACCTGCACTACTGGTTGACCTGGGAAGGGTCCGCCCTGCAGATGCTTGGTCAGTGTTCAACCCTGGCCCTAGGGGAAGGCCTTGACACGAGGGGATCGGTCAGCTTGTGACCTGAAAGAAGGCCCAAAAATGATCGAAAGGTCCCTTCTGCCGATTGATCAAAAGTGACCTAAACTGGAAAGGATCGCTGAAATCCAATCTAAAGCAGTGGAACCCGTCTATGGCTACCCCGAACTTTCCGAGAAAAAAACAAAAAGCACACCTATGCCATTGATCTGCAGCAAGGGGAACCACGGCAATGCAGTCTCTGGTGAGCGCCAAGGGGCTCCCATGGTGAAGATTCGATGGACGGCAGGGGTCAGTCCATGTTTCCATTTGAAGATCGGGTTGCAAGCATTTGGGGACCCCAGTTTTGACACAGCCATTGGATTCTCTGAGGTCAGCAACCAAGAAACGGCAAAAGGCGCTTGGTGCTTGGGAAGCTTGGCAAGCTTTCCCCGCACGTTATATATATATATATATGTAGAAAAAAAGAAGAAGAAGAAAAAAAAAACGGGCGGGCGAGGCGGAACATAATATATCTCCTCAGCCACAGCCACTTCAAAATGGAATCCCCAAACTGGCAGCTTGGTAAATGGAAGACTACAAAGGGGCGTAACCCTGGCTCTCTAATTTTGAGCCACACTTATGGCCATGGGTTCTCCTCGTGGCAGTTTGCCAGTTGGCTGCACAGCGCCTCAAGCAAACGGCACTCCGAAAACGAACTCGGAAATTGGATGGCCTATGGGTTCTTCTCAACTCTTGGTATGATTGCAAAAGCCTTTTTCGGCCCCCTACTGCAAATGAACAGAACCACAAAGGAAAAAAGCAATAACGGTGACAACAGTAATAAATCATAATAATACTAATAACAATAATAATAATAATGATGATAATGATAACAATAATAATGATAATAATAATAATAACCAAGAACAGCAAACGCTTGGTAGATGGCCCAATTCCTGGAGCCAACCATGGTATCCCATTCCAGGAATAGAAACTGGTGGATCTGAATCAAGTTTTAGCAGGGTCAATCACCTCTTGGCTCAGCTCCGATTTATCTGGCGTCAGGTTGGGGAAGAAAGCCTAGGAAGCGGCTCCCCGCCGATCTATCGAAACTTGGCGAGTAACTGACTTCGCCCAAACCAGTATCTCGTCAAACCAGTTTAGACGAAAAGGGCACACTTAGATGTCCATTTTGTACGAACCCTTGGCATGAACCCCGTCATGGGTCAGGTAAGCACTAGCATTGGCGTCACTAAGGGAAAACCAGCTACCAAACAAATGGGTGTGGTTTAATGGAACCCTGGCAAATATAAACATAGACTCAAACCCGCGGTCCCCGGCTCTTGCAAATTTGATGAAGGAAACAGGGCAAACCAGTTGGATGTGTGCCCAAATGGGGAAGCCCAAAATAAGTGTTCCTTTTGAACTCCGTAAAAGATATACCCTCAAAAGTACACAGACGCACTCATCAGTTTGTTGATCCCGCATCTTCCACACCCAGATCCTGCAAGGCCCAAGCATCGCCAGGCTTTCGGGTTGGATAGCCAGTACACATGATGAGCCTGCGCTCCTGAAAGGGAGAACACCTGGTTTTGCCAACAAGACTTGGTCAACGTTCAACCCTAGACCTACTGTGGATGGACGAGATCCTGCACCACTTCGGAGCCGTAAGACACTAGGTGGTGCAGCAGTTCGTCCATCCACAGCGGGATTGAACATATGTTCTTTGTTCATCATTTAAGTCCAACTTGGTTGACGTTGGAAGGGGAGCAAAAATATATATTTTAGCAGTTCAGTGGAGATTCTTCACTAAACCGCAACAAGAATGTAAAGATGTTTCCCAACAACAACCATGCCGAGGCGAAGATGTCTCCGATGAAACCAAAACCGGGCAGCGAAAAAGGTCCACATTTTGACACGCCTCCGTGGGAAGACGCTTCCCCCGCGCTTCGAGGTTTCCTAGGCCTTACTGAACAGACCGGCAGGGATCCTTACAATGGATCCACCTTGCTTGCCTTGCAAATGGCGGTGTCCAACTCTACTTTGGTGTGGCAAAAAAACCACGTGTAACTCAAATGGGTGGTTGCAAAATGAAGATCTTGTAAGGAGGTCCGGGTAAGCTTGACCTCAATTGCTTCGCGTTTGTTCAAGGTGCTCTTTTGCAAAGCAAACCAAAGTGGTCCCCCCCCCCAAAAAAAAAAAAGAGAATGGGAGTTC